GCTATGTCTGCATGCCTCCTGAAGTAGTTTGTTCAACCCCCTGGTTGCTGGAGACAAGGATCTGCTCTCCGTCAGAGGTCTGTGCTGAGAACTGCTGGAACTTGCCCTGACTAATGTCTGAAGGATATTCACAGGACCTTGCAGGACCATGCTGCATTTCCGTCTGTTGTGCATAGCGTGGCTATGGGATGGAGCCAACCTGATGGCATGTAACAGTGGTTTCTGAAGCCCCCATACTCCATCTGTTCCTGGACTGGCCAGCTGTAAGGCTCTATCTGGGGCAATGGCAGTGTGCTTTCCAGTGCGAGTCTGATAGCTGGGAGTGAGAACAGAAATGGGAGTGGTAGCAGACACTGCAGGGCTTTCTCCATCCCCCTTTGTGCTCCGTGTAGCTTCAGAAGCTAGATCTTTTAACATTTTCTAGTCAGATGGGCATCATGCTCGGACCCCAGGGGCTTTCTGTGAGGTACCCAGGCTGTCAGATGAGTCCCGAGACTCCTCCCTTTCTGATAAGGTTGATGCTGTTTGCACGTGTGCGTGTGCGGGGTGAATTGCAGAAGACTGAGCTCTCTGGAGGAGCCCCTGAACGGTACTTGCTCTCCAGGACGAGGCACAGTTGGCACTGGCGCAGACCCTCCTGGTGACTAATGTTGAGCGATGTGAGCGATGCGCTCCTGAACGGCTGGCCTGGATTGGCCTGCTGTTTCTGAAGTGCTGCTCTTGTGAGCATCTTCCAAATTGCACCTCACAATAGACCTCAAGGGGCCTGTTGGTGCAACTGGAAGCTTTGTAAAAATTAAACATACTCCAGATGCTGGAAGTGAACTTTCAGCAATCTGAACTGTCTAAAACAACAATAGTCAGAAGCATGAAAATGGCAGATAAAATGACAATTGGGTGAATTGAAATGTTAAAATTTAATTCAATTTGGCTTTAGCTGGCCCCTTGGCAGTGTAAAAAAAAAATTTAAATCATTTTATTGGGGGCTTGTGCAGCTCTTATCACAGTCTAACATACACAACATCCATTGTGTCAAGCACATTTGTACATATGTTGCCATCATAATTTTCAAAACATTTTCTTTCTACGTGGGTCCTTTGTATCAGCTTATTTCCCCCTTTCCCCATTATCCCTCCCTCATGAACCCTTGATAATTTATAATTTTTTTTTGACATGTCTTACACCAACTGCTGTCTCCCTTCAACCACTTCAGTGTTATCTGTCCCCTAGGAGGGGGTTATACGTAGATCATTGTGATCGGTTCCCTCTTTCTCCCTACCCTCCTGGTATCACTACTCCCATTATTAGTCCGGAGGGGTTTATCTGTCCCGGTTTCTCTGTGTTTCCATCTCTTATCTGTACCAGTGTACATGCTCTGGTATAGCTGGATTTGTAAGGTAGAATTGGAGTCATGATAGTAGGGGTGGTGGGAGGATGCATTAAAGAAGTAGAGGAAAGTTTTATGTTTCATCGGTGCTATACTGCATCCTGACTGGCTGGTCATTTCCTTGTGACCCTTCTGTAAGGGGATATCTAATTATCTACAGAAGGGCTTTGGGTCTCCACTCCGTGTTCTCCCCTCATTCACATTGATATGATTTTTTTGTTCTGGGTCTTTGATGCTTGATACCTGATCCTATCAACACCTCATGATCACATAGGTTGGTGTGCTTCTTCCATGTGGGTTTTTTTACTTCTCAGTCTTTGGCAGTTTTAATCACAGGGTAACATGACGTTGTAGGTCTGTTTTGTATCTGTTTGTTTCTGATTGTCTACCTGAGTAGAATGTTGCCTCCGTGAATGAAAGACAATCGCTGTAACCCTCAGAGTTGGGAACAATTAGGTACTCAAACAATGGAATTTTGTGAAATTTTTGGAATAATGGCAGATAGTAAATCCTACCAAGTTAAAGAATGTTCAGGGGGACAGTGGTGGGATTCAGCAGGTTTTCACTGGTTCACCAGAACTGATAGGTAATTTTTGTTGAGTTCAGTGAACTAGTTAAAAGTGCACTTTGAGATCAGCCAGTCAGGGTGCAGTGTAGCAACGATGAAACATACAACTTTCCTCTAGTTCTT